CCTGTGCCAAAGGCACTTTGCAAAGAAAATCAGAGTGTGGCCTTTATACAGATTGAAGTCTCTAAGGAGGAAGTTGTAGAGTAACTTGAGAAACTCAAGTGCAGTAAATCACCGCAACCGGATGGTGTTCATCTGGGAGTTCTGAGGGGAAATAAAGTGAAAAAAAAGCCAAGATACTGACAAGGGGATGGCTTCTTCCCTCAGAAAATGCAGCAGCACAAGAAAGCTAGGAAGCCCTATTATGTTGCCTGTCTTCAAAAAGAGATCAGCAAAATCCTGAGAATTGCAGAGCTTTGAAGTTTACCACAGTTTTAGAGAGCCCAAGAAACCAGTTCTGAACAGCAGCTCAATAGAGAGTTTGTTGGACAGGAACACCCTATGATGGTGCTCTTCCGTCTCTCAAACCACTGAGGCTGTTACAAGGGGGAAAAGTACCGCCCTGTAGGACTGAAGTACCTTGAGAAAACAGTGGAGTGGCCTTCAGAGGGAGAGTGGGATAACAGGCATTTCTCAGATGAAGGTGACCAAGTGATCCAAAGGTTCAAAAGATTTTGCAGAGGTCACCTATAAGCAATTGTCATAGATGACATTAAGAAATAAAACTGTGAAAAGCATCTTTAAGGTTATTTGTTCCTAGAGGAAATGAATATGAGAAGCATTTCTCTTTTTAGTGAGTGAAAAGGTGAACACCCAGTACAAGGTATTAAGACTGGTGTCATAACAAATAAACGAGTCTGAATCCCAAACCCTAATGCATTCAAATCAGCATATCCAGAATCCACCCCAAGATCTGGATCCAAGTCACACATGTGTTTCCCATCTTAAAAGAGGACAAATCAGTTCCTGAACTCCTTGAGCTGAGGTTTGACTACGCCGTACCCAAAGACTATTGCTCCAGCCTACATGACAGTTACGTACAACATAGTGGGGGCGGGAGGAGTGCATGTGTACACATAGCATGCAAAGGAAGCAATTAAATGTAAACTCAAAACAATTTGAAAAGTGATTCACGGCAGAAAGAGCTCTGATGTAGAGATTACATTACATGAGCATTTGCTCTTGATATTAACTTGATGCATCTAGCTGAAAGGGCAGAAGATTATAAATAATAGGACAGTGGGAATTTTGCTGGGTTTGGTGAGCCCACTTACAAGCAAACATTTCCAATTATTTTTCTTTCAGTTCCTACAGGCCCAGTGCACTAAAGGCAAAGTTACATCAGTTTTAATTCACTCTATCTCTTTTGAATTCATTAGATTTTGAAAGCTTTCAAAGTAAGTCAGGGGTAGGAATTAGACAAAATATAGAAAGTGGGACATTTCTGACTGGCTGGTATGTTTTTAGTGTCTAAAAAAGAAAGCTTTTTTTTTTTTCTTTTTTTTAAGCAACCTGTAGGAGGGCTTCTAAAAATAGATATTTACATTTACATACTAGGACAGATCCTCAGCTGCCATGAAGCATTATTGCTTCATATTGCTTCATCTTCTTGAACAGAGGTAACCCTGACCACCACAGCTGAGAACCCGCCTCTCGCAAATGTACATATATATGTGAAATATGTCTAGGATTCTGTATTTTTCTGAGTGTATAGAAACTGCTTCTTCATCCAGGTGCTTTTGCCTGTGCTCTAAGTTGTGGGTGTTAAAAGCTCCTCTGTTTTTAACTGGGGGTGGTATCTTCAGGGAAGCAGGGTGAGGAGGAAGAGTGAAGTGCATGGAGAAGGCCGCATGCACAAGGGAACCAGCATGACCAGAGAATCCCAGAGAAGAAGGTGGAGGAGAGAAACAGGAACAAAGATTATATCCCATATAACCGTGCTGTGGTCTAAGGGCATTATGTCATGACAGCAACTGAAAACCAAGCAGTATCTGTATTCAGAGGAGCAGGGAGTTAAACTGTGACTGAGCAGCAGCCATGACTTTTGGAAAACACCTCAGGTGTTTCTTGCTAAATGGCAAGAATAGCAGGAGAACTGTCATTGATAGCAAGGTGGAGAAAAAGCCCTTCTGCACTCAGCTGTGCTGTTGCTGGATTCATGTAACACAAGACAGCGTACATGTCACACCAGATAGTGCTAAGAGGTGCCAAAAGCCACTTTCACTCTTTCCCCCTCAGTATCTCCCTGTGTGAGAGTCGGGTGAATACCAATGTGGAACAACTATGTGTTGCTGCATGTTTCTGCCCACACAGTGGGACCCTGGTAGTGATTTAGACAGTACTGGACTCTGGACACATAATGTACACAGAATATCCATAATAAATAATAATTACCACAGTAGGGGGCAGCAGCCAGCTGTGGAGGAAAAGTAGGGCCAGCTGCTGGAAGAGATGTTAGGCGCTGGCTGAGCATGCAAGCTGGGCACTGGGGAGGGCGAGAGGGCCATGGCTGAGAGCCAGTGGCAGCTTACTGCCAAGAAGAGGGAGATAAAAGCACAAAAGCGGTTCACCAGAGGGAGCTGCTCCTGGCCACCCCTCAGCAATCGGTAGCGGCCCTGATCCAGGAGAGAAGGCTGATGGCAAACAGGAGCACCGCCAGCCAGAGTGCGTGGCCCACACTACTCACATGTACCATGCTGGAGCTAACAGGACGGGTATCAGTAAGCTAAGCAAGCCTTCTGTAGGGAAGTAGACCTGCACAAGCCTTCTGGTTTCCAAGAGACACATATCTCCTCCAGAAATGAGCACAGTCTCATCCTGTTCCCCTCAACATCTCCCTAGAGGCACCTCCAGCTGAAGCCAGGTCAATACTCCTAAAATGAGTCAGCTCCCCAGGAGACTCATAGGCACCTGGTCAATGCTTTTCCGAAGCACCTTGATGCCCAGGTCTCCTTGATTTCATCTGTAGAGAAGTTTCCAGGCAGTTCTGAAGATCCCTAAACAGCAGCATTTTTAGCTGCCTGAATTCCTGTGAAGGTATGATACTTATCATTTGGGGTCCCCAGGTGATATGGTAAATGAAAAACTATTTTGGACACCCTGCACACAATTAGTAGTCCAGTGCTACATCTAAAATTTATCACAGATTTAAAATATTTTTCTAACCACCCTGAAACGTCATTTCTAAGACCAAATCAGTTAGCCAGCCTAATTTTCACAAGGTTATTCGTGGCATGCTCCCCACATACTGGCTTCTCAGCAAAGTCAATAGCGTCCCAGGGTAAACTCCTCTATTTGCCCCGTATGGAATACATAACTATTTCACCAGCACAGCATAACAATTAATTAGCGCATGTTCTATGCAGTAATTATAACAATGTGGCACATTTCACTTAAATTTAGCTTAGTGAAATTTAGCTTTACTTATATTCATGTCTTATATTCAAGCTTGCTTTCTGGGCCTTTTTATGTTTCACTGAGTTCAAATGCAAATAGATAAACTCTGTTTACACTTCCTTGCAAAGGAGGAACATGTTTATTTCCAGATTCTATACTCATCCACCAGAAAAAGTCACACAGGACAACTGAAGTATTTTTCTGCTGTGTTCCTAGTTGGCTGAGCATAGTGGCTGTGATGTGGGTGACATTAAAGGGAAGCCACTTTTCCTCCATTTCTCAATACAGAGGCTGAGGGAGTTAATTTGTCTCAGCAAAAAGAAACAGCTACTGTCTGGATACTGTGGGTTATATAGTCCACAGGAGAGAGAAGAACTCAATAGAACACAATCTCAGGCAAATAGGGCATGGTATCAGGGAGAAACATCCATCATTTTTGCAGGTAGTAGCCAAGAATATTCCATTTCTGAGCTCAAATGCAAATTCACAGGCAACAAAGAGCCTATGTTGAACATATATACAGTTCAAACATAACCAGATTCTTTCTGAAAAACTTTAATCTGAATATCTGACCTTAAGAACCAGCCTCAGTTAAGTGCTGGCAAGCACCAAGATTTGGAAGGAAGTTAGGGGTGTTGCACTATTTTGAAAGCTCTGTTTTGAACCAGCTGTCATTACGAATGTCTGCTGGTACCCCGTCTTAGCATACAGCCTGTCGCTGTCGAGCATAATGGGAACGAGCCAATGGAGTGTATTGAGCTATGCTTTCTTGCATGTCTTTATAGTTCAAATTACCCCTTCACACAGCCATAACAGGTAATCTTTGAATTTATTTCTGCCACATTCTAATTGCTTCCATTTATTTTGTGTATATGTCTATGTGTGTTTGTATATACATATATGCATATTTATATGCACACATGTACATTTGGACATCATTATTAAATGTAAGTTTGCATATTGTCACAGATTATTGCTATGCTCACCACAGATTCTTAGAGTAGCTGGCTTTATTATACAATAAAACAACAGTGGAAAATTAATGCCTTCTTTAGAATAAATAAGAAACACAGGACTCATTATACCATATACGTTTAATGGTTTGGACATCCCAGTGCCCACATGAAAACAAGGAAACATATATTGCAATAGGCAGTATAATTATTTCAGCAAGGAACATCCATCCCACACTCCTAGAAATATGAGATTCAGCATCACGAGATCCTAGCATTATGTCATCAGCTGCATGAGTTTCACAGCTTATCTTTCTGATTTTATGTTACAGGAGTAAACTCCAACAAAAATGTATAACACTGCCAATTTAACAGCACATTTATGTTAATACTATCTGTAATGATTTCAAGAAGGTGAAGATTAACGTTTCTGTACATGTGTTCACTTATGTGCATATATGCATACACATACATACACATATAAATGCATGCATGTATGTGTGCACTATGTATATAAACTGTCTTTAGAGATGCCATTGTTTTAAAAGGTTGATTCCGAGTTAAACTTTCCATACAGTTGACCAATTTAAAGAAGCTTCTGCTACTACACGGAAGACTGAGCTAGGTGATATCATTAAGCATTATCAGATGAGGCTGCAGGTAGCTGAAACGTTCCTTAATGAAAATTTAAAGAGAGCAGATTAAAATTATATTCCTCCAATCCAACAGAACACAAAGGTAAAGACATTCAATTACAACCAAGATCTCAGTTAGCACTAAAGGGGTGTTGTTTGTTGATCAGAATTTATTGCCTGAAGTGAACAGCCAAGCTTGTGACTATGTTTATAATTACTTTCTACAATGTACCCTTCTAACACTCAGATACAGTTATGGAAGATGGCATTTTCCTTAATTTTTAGCCTGTGATGTCCATGACCAAGAGTTAGAAAATCTCAACAACAGTAACAAAGGTTTTTTTTATCTGTGCTACTTTCATCTCCTAATATTGTGAGAAATAAAACAAATCTATAATGACATGTATTTGTGGGGTTTTTGACTACTATGTTAACTGTTTTAACAGGGTTTTGTTGGCCAACAGAATAAGTGGCACAAGGGAAGTGGTTTGAGCAGGATACTTACTACCTGTGTGTCTGCCCAGACTGCTGGCAGCTTTCCCTAGGCACATCAGGGGTTTTCAGTGAGAAGACATTGAGGGTGCTCAGCTCTATACTGAATCTGTCATTAGTTCAGAGAAATGCATCACATCTTTAAAATCTCAGAACTAAAAAAGATACTGACAGGCAGGAGTGTGACAAGAGGAAAGAAGGAATAACCAGGAGACTGAAAGGACTGATGTGTTAGGGAAGATTATACGATCTAAATAGCTACGGGTTGGCATTATGCTAACTAAACACAGCAGTTAAAAGATACTGGAAGAAAATTGCATCAGTGAAGGAAAATAAGGAGTTTGCAAAGGGATGTAACTAGAAGAAATATGATGATGTTAAGAAAGGTAAAAAAAACCTTTTGACGACAATATACTCTAGACAGCACAGCCTATCCCTGGGGACATGGCATCACTTAGGACATTTAATCTATGCACACAAAACAACCGAAAATATGCCATAGGAAACAATCTCATGGTATCAGGGAACTGTACTGGATGACCTAAAAGGTACATTGCTAATTTGTGTTCACCTGTTACCTGTGATTTTCCTTGCTTGTATGGCCAACTCGTTGTTACTTGTGTGTATTTGGTTTCTCTGGGCCAAATCCAACTCATGCTGCAGTCAGCAGAAGTTTCCAACAGGAGCAATAGGACTTCAACGTCTTTTCCATGTCCTCGCTATTCTAAAATGAAAAAAACAAAACAAAACCAAAAAACCCAAACACACCAAACCATTCTACAAGAACTATTGTTGTATATTGTATGAATGTATATGAAATTAAACCAGATTGGTCCCTTAATATTTCTTGGATATTTAAACCTGTGTTTAGCCTTTGAGATATCCCAGGTAATGTGCATTTGCTTTCATACAGTGAAGCCAAAATGTTTGCTAGGGAAGAAACTTACAGTTCATCTAAAAATACCTTCTGATGAAAAACTGCTTTGGTCACAGAAGAATGAAGAAGATTCTCTACACTAAAATGAATATATATATAAAACACAGAAATGGCAGAGCTTTTTCTATTTCTAAAGCAGTAATGCAACTAATGAAAGAAGCAAACAATGAATTCTGAACTCATGACTGTAGTTTTCAAAGAGTTTTACTTAATATCTGAGTGTATATGCTCAAACGGTGCTTAAATTCCAGCTCAGTTGCAGGTAGGGAATCACTATGTTGTGGCAGCTCAGTGTCGGCCCCTTGAGAGGCACAGATTTCTGTGTAAGTGGGGCTGAATGTTCAGGGGTCAGGGCTGTGTGCTGGTGTTGTCCATATATCTAACAGCAAGTATTGCAAATCTTTAGAACAGTGTTTCTTGAAAATACTAAACAGACTTTTTGGTAGCCAGTATTGAGCCTGTGGCTATACTGCTTCAGGCTGTAATCTTGTCAGCTTTTACAACATAAGTAGGGTCAGGAAGGGTCAGCACTTGGATTGGTAACTCTAAGGAAAGGCAGTAGCTGCAGGAAGTGTCTTAGGCAATAAGAATAGATGTAACTGTTTTCCCTGAGCTTTTTTTAATATCCTGATGAAGGTGTAACACACAGCTGTGACACAAAAGTGAGATCCTCACCCTCTGCAGTCATCAAGCACTTCATTTTCAAAAGGGTCGTCCCTTGGCCTGGCATGGAGGTGTGTGGTGCAATAAACAGGAGACCACAGAACTCAGGTACTGCTTGTATGTGCGCGTGGTCCCCGTTGTAATGTAAACGCATGGTCCTAGCATGTTTCATCAGGAAGGGGTCACAGGTGAATGACGTTTCTGACATCTTTGGGAATGCTGGCAACTCCAGTTAAGTCTTTTGTTTTGTTTATAAAACAAAAAAGTCTATTAAGCCAAGACCTTGTGCACCAACTTTCAGCCTCATGCATTTCTACAGAAAGCATAGAAGGCTTGATAATTAAATCCTTGCCCAATGGTCTACATTGCCAAGAATTTTAAATTGTAAGTTAACCAATTTCTCTTCTAAAGTTCAAACAATAAATAAAATTCTATGTGAAAAATGGAGCCTTTTATTCCTTTGTCAAAATCTGATCAGAGTAAACTACAGATGTTAAAAGGTACTGTAGTTCAAAGAATTAAAAAGAATCTTATGGGGTTTGTACGAAGAAAAGAGTTTTAGAGAATAATATGGAAAATATTATAATGCTATTATATAAATCAGTGGCACATCCTTACTTTGAATACTGTCTTCAAATTTGGACACCTCAACCCTGAAAAAAAGAAAGTAGAAATAGAACAAGTCCAGAGAATGGTGATAAAAATGATAAAAGCCAAAAGAGTGGGAAATTTCTTGAGAATAAAGAACACAAGCACCAGCTTCTCTCTCAGGGAAGTTGTGCCTTCATGGAACTGCAAATTCTACATGAACCCTCTCCATAAACTTGGAACAAGTGCTGTTGCCTGGGATAATCTAGAAGATGTCCTTGGACCCTAACAGTTTTTCTGGAAGGCTTTGAGCCCTTGCATGAAGCAGACATTGATGATATTTTGTTAGTGTACCCTGTTATCCTTAGAGGACTTGTTGCCACTGGAGGCCAATGTGATGTATGGGCAGCAGACCTGACACAGAGCTACATATTATTTGTTTGCTGACTATATCCTAATCTGTTTTTTCAGCCTCAGTTTTAGAAACTTTGCTTTTCCATGCCTTTTTTTTTTTTTTTTCAGACTTTGGATGAGTTTTTCAGAAAAGCATAGGTGATTCAGAGGTACAAATCCATTGACTTGCTTGACAATTTTTCCAGTTAAATCACGCAGCTCCCACAAAAATGTGCCATTTGTCTATTCAAATAGCTTCAGTCCTGAAGGGCTTGCACAGTCTCCCTCACTTTGTGCAATGGGATCCCCAGGCTTCGTCAGAGCTCTACTTAAGCATGACTATAATATAAACAACATTTCGCCCTCGTGATCTTCCAACCTAATTAGCAGCAAAGGAAAAAAAAAACCAAACCTTTCCTACCCTGCAAGGTGAAACGAAGAGGTATCAAATTTCAAACGGATAAGAGGTATTGTTTTTCCAAACAATGTGCAGTTAATTAATGGAACTTGCTGCTGCTCAGATAGTACTGAGAAAAACAGCATCATATTTGTAAGTAAGGAGGTGTTTTAGGCATAAAAGCAAATCTTCACACAAAGTTCAGATTGGGTTCAATTCCATAGCATGTATTATGCAGAAGATCAGATTAGATGATAATAATGGTTGCTCCTAGCCTTAAAAAAATCTGTGAGAGTTTTACTAGCTGCTATTATGTAATAATGCCTAATCATCCCAGCAGTTCTTGGCATATGCCTGTCAATAGACAGGGTTAGGAAGGCATTTTCATCCATAGTCAACTCTTACACTGTTAAAGACACAGTGGGGAGGGAAAGCCTCATTTCATATTGTCTGTTATTGGCCTCTGTCAAAGTAAAGGCATTTTAGGATTGATCAGTGCCAGCGACCACTAAGAAGCAGCCAAGCAGGAGTACTACTACCCTCAGAGTCAGGGTGGAGCACCATTGAACATGTATCTATGGGAACTGAGGGACTGTCTAACTTACAATGGATCATCAGGGTAGGTATGGATGCCTACCCTGGGCCTTCAGAGGATGAGGAAAGACTAGGAAGCTTTTCAAACTGGTGCCTGTTCACATCTCTTTCTAGAGCTGAACAAATTGGTTTTTCCCCAGTCCTGTGTGGGAACCCTGAAAGCAGCAATCACATTCATGCTAACATGGTGTGTCTTAAGCCCCGTCTACAGATCAGGAAAAAGCAGACCAAGATCAGTAATGTCTTGGGTGAAAGAGGTCTGGAGGAAAGTGTGGAAAACAAAGGCTCAATGACTGCAACTAGCCTTATCTTTTGATCTGGATGGCAGCACACCCTGGAGTCCTAGTCCATTACCCCGACCAGCATCCCTTCAGAGTGTCCCCTGTCCCTGTTTAAACCTAGACCCACCTACAGAGACATCCTCAACTGCCCATGGCTCAATTATACCTCTGAATATCAGAAGCACAGCAATGTTCCCCATGGGCAGGTGTACTCTGCAGTGCCTCTGTCATTCTTTTCTACTTCAGATATCCTCACATAGGGGCAGAGACCGAGAGATCTCATTTGTCCTAAGAAATGTTACCTTATTGTGGTGACGTATGATAGATATCTGATCCATCTCTGAACCGTTAAAAAGTTGTCAGTGCTAACATGGTACCATGAAAATAGAGGCCCTTTTCTTCATGACTGCACTTACCTACAACTTCAGATATATTGCAGTCCCCACAAGAAATCAGGGGGGATGTCTTCTAGGGAATAGCTGTGCTGGAGTCATTTCAGTTATGGGAAGTTTTTTCAGTCTTGTGGGTTGGAAAAGCTCTTTACTGAGGAAAAGAAAAGAAAAAATATTAAAAGGAGCAAACCACTTACACTAGCAGTTTTACACCAGCAATCTGTACTTTTGTATAAAGACAGAGCACACGCATACAGTAAGCACAAAATACACAAGCAATTGTGATTCCAGGATGTTTGTAATGGCAAGTTAGATTGTAAATTATTTCTTGGGGGGGGAGAAAGCACAGTGGAAATAATGTATACTATTCATAAAAATGATTGTCCTGTTCACTTGTATACCTCTGCAATTTATTCTGTAACAGCTTTTTACTTCAAAAAATCACTAGCTAATGACATCTCAAACTTAAAAAAATCCACTTATTCACAACCCTGTCCCTGAGGGAATTCCCGCGTGTTATCAGAATTTTTTCCAAAGATCATTAACAGATATTACAAACCAATTGAAACTGAGTATTTTCTTTGCAAATTACTTTTAACTTTAGAGCTATTGAAAAAAGACATTGAGTGATTTAATTTACTTAATCTGTCTACAGATTGCATCTATGTGCATATCCTGTGATTGCATTTCCAACAAAAAGCATATATAACTATCCTTAATAGAGATATTTTTCTAAATTATCGTATAAGATCAGTAAGATCTCTGAAGATATTAATGTTTACTTTTTCATTTAGAAAATTGCACTTGGGAAAGAAATGGGCACGCTTATTCTGTTGTTATCTTAGAAACAATAACACACCATAATACTTATTTTACCTGCTATTTTAATTAAAACTCCAATAATCACCAGGTCTGTATATCCTTTGAGGATATGTTCTGCTGATTTTTCTGAAAAATCACTGTATTTTCATTAGGCTGTGAAGCCAGTATTTTAGAAACCCCTTACACAGCAATGAGTATACCTAACGAAATCCTCTATCTTGCACCAATCCAAAACACCGAAGCATACAGGAAGCTAATTCAGCAGAGGAGGGCTGGAGAAGGTATCTTATTCTCCACACTACTGCTTTAAACTCCTTCCAGAGAACCTTATGTGTATCAGCACCACTTCTGCAGGAAGTAAGGAAAATATCTTCCCCCATCAATACTTAGCTTATAGCTTCCTGAGTAGGGTTCCTGCTCTCTTCACAGATAAGAGATCCTTAGGGCTTGGACCCCCTGAAGCTCAGGTGGTCTTTGCATGTATTTACTTTGAATGACAGTGAAGGCAGCTGCTGTACTTTGTGTACTGCTCAGTCCTGAGCACGTGTTACACATGCTCTGCCAGTTTGTTCTTTGTAGACATGGGGGCAAAGCAGTGCATAGTTTAATGAGGCAAATCTGGAGTAGCTACTGAGAAGTTCAGCTGTGCTGAGCTGGTGACTCTCTGAACAGGGGGCATTAGCAGAAGAAAGATTTTAGATGTCTTAAGATCTTTAATTCAGAAAAAATGGGGGTGGTGAACTTGGAAGAGTGTGGACTGGGGTCCTGGACTTTGACATCTACGTTCCACATAAGTCTCAGTCATCTCCTTTTCTGGCTTTGGGCCCAGAAATGGCTATTTAGAGAAACAGATTTGTCACAGCAAATAGGTGACTAGACCTCTTTTCACATCTTGCTTAAAATGGTGGGAGAAGTGTGAAGAAAGGGTGACAGAGGTCTTGCAGGTGGTGGTTACTGTTGCACCTCCTTCAGATATTCTGCATCATCCCATCAGCTGGATCAGAGGCCTGGGACCAGCCTATAGACCTCTCCATTCCCAGTACCACTTAACCCTCAATTTTCTGCTGTTTCTCTTTCATGGGTTACCCCAAAAGGCTCTCACAGTGAAAAGACTTTTTTTCCCAGTGCACCAAAAAGCATAGGGTCAGTTAACTTGAGCTAATTTTGAAACTGCACCAGAAGCTAAAATGATTACTCCCTGAGCTACCTGAGATCCAGGTTTGTCCTGTGAACGTTGAGAGACCAGAAACCTTTTCAAAGGTCCCACACCATTAACTTGGCAGCTTTTTCCCCCCCCACCATCCCATGGTGGTGGGTGGGCATGAGAAAGGAGATGGTGTGGCTACTATTGAGCAAGGAGTATCTGCACAGGTTACTGGCTTGGTTTTAACCCACACTGCACTCAGTTAAATGCAGAGGGAGGATGGCAAGTTGTTCCTTCTCCTGGTAAAGGTACAGCCTCTCAAATGTGTCATGTTTCTGCTCTTCATTCACCCTGATGACCTGCTCAAGATACTTCCCTGGTCATAGTCCAAACCCCTAGTTTACATCCATAATAGTGCTGTGGGTGTCAGTAGCAGCCACTGTGAAATCCTACTGCTTTTTAGGATGCCCTCTTTTTAGAAGTGTCTCCCCCACCCTTCTGTCACACACGTGCAACTGGCACTGCAGTGTCAGTTCAGAAGGTGCACCCAGAAAGCCAGAGCCCAAATACATTTGACAGTGGCTTTCTCTTTGCACTAACAGTACAATCTCTCATGCATACCCAACTTCAGGAATGAATTCAGTTCAGTGCTGGAGCATCCTCCGCTCTTGCATTCCTGCCTTCCCCCCTCCCAGGTGCCTTGTGTGGCTTGTATTTCAATGCAACCAGCCTTTCCATGCTCTGGGGCTCCATCTGCATTGGGACTCGTGGCAGGAGCCATCACCATGCTTCTGTCAGGGGTGACCTGGACTTTCCACCTGCCTTCAACTGCCAAACTGGCACAGTTCCACCTGCCGTGGCGGCTGAGCGCCTCTGTTGCCACTCAACCCGGGACATCTCCATGGAGTCTGATAACACGTCTGCTAATTAATGCCAGTTGTGATCACTGGTCAGATCCTCAGCTGGGATAAATTGACACGGTTCCATTTAAGCCTGTGACAATTAGTGACAACTTTGAGCTGACCTGGTGGTTTTCTTTATAAAATGGGTATACGTCTTGCTGAAAGCGAATAAACCCCACCAACTAATTGCATATAAACTACCAAACAATCAGAAAATGAAAGTATTGTCAGTAACTCCCAGCCTGGGCCAAATTACAATTGTGACAAAGAAGTGATAGCCCCAGATATATTAACAACTCTCTGAGCTACCCAAGCTCCTTATGATAAAAATAATTAATAATAATAGATGTTCTTCTGGATACATTCACCTTTCTGTAAGGAAAGCCTAATGAGTCTGTCTTTTGAAAAAGAGACTATCAGGAAATTCAAATGTGATTCTATTAACATGTAAGAAAAGCTTTTTACATTTTAACAATTGAACAGATCAAATCTATTCTTGAATTCAATTTTCAAGTCTTATAAGCAACACCAGTAAGTGCAAAGGAGCAGTCCAAGAACTTTCTCACGATTCTTTTTCTGCCATTTGTCAAAATTTTATTTCAATCAATACTTTCACTGTGTTAAGTCGTCTCACGAGTCCTCTCAACCAGAGTAAGCAGGGCTGTAGTAGGTACTAAATCCTAAGGAGAGGCAAATAAGGCACTTCTGGAAGTAAAGCAAAAGTTTGATAGGAGCTGGTGATATTATTATAATTTCTTATTTGTTAAGCACTGACAATATGCTCAGTTCTGCTGATTAAGTTCTTCTGAGCAAGTTCTACTGATTAGCTTATAAGGACAACACACTGTACTACAAAGAAGATATGTGACAGCTATCAAGACTTTTGCTTTCAAGGCTCACTTAGCAAAACAATTACATGCCAGTTATGCAGGTTTTATGAAAAAAAAAGAGAAAATGCATAAACTGAGTAAATATCATGACTTTTGTGTTCGCTAATTTTCCTACTCCAGATCTCTCGTTTCAGTACTGTCTGACAACCTCAAAGTTACATCGAGATTTGAGGAAGATCTAAAGCCTCATCGCTGCTTATATTCAGTTTTTAAAATCATGCTATATTAAAGGCAAGCACACAGGTTGTATTGTTAGGATCTGCCTTTGGATTTGGGGATTACTCCCCGGGAAGCGCAAAGATGGCTGAATGGGGCCATCTCTGTCTGTCCTGAAACAGACAAAAATCCAAGTAACTTCAGATTCATATGCACATTTCCTTCATGCCACAACATAGATCGAACAGTTAGCCAGTCTCCACTCATACAGTGGAGACCTGGTCTTAGAAAGACTTTTGGGGGTACAGGTTCCAAAAGGGAGCATCTTCCCTATCCTACTAGGCCCTTGCTAAGCTGATGAGGTTGTTTCTCTAGTGGACTTATCGTTAAGTCTCTCCACCCTGAGCTATGGGCACATTTTTGCAGAGCATCTAGCAGTTGGGATGTTATGCTGGTCTACAGTCATTGCAGCAATTCTGTTCCTGAGAGACCAGGTGAACTTTCTGCCTGTTTTACATCTACTTTAGCATGTAAAGGTATCACAGCTTTTTCCTCCACCCTTACCCTCAGATCATTTACGTACAGTTTACCTTGAGGGTGGCAGATTCCCAAAACCAGGCATTTGGTGGCAAAATAATATAAATACATCTGTGTGTACACAGCAGGGGATAGGACTGAGGACTGCTCTAAGAACCACCGGCCAAATTTGCATGTCAGAAGGGTGCCAAACAGACATTGTCCCTTGCCCTAGCCAGGCAACACCTAGGCTTTCTAACTGCAGCACTTCCAGAGCTCCAGCTGTGCAGATGTTCTTAGAAGAAAAACTCCCTTTTGTCTGCTGCTATCCTCTATACTGCACAGTTCCCTAAATCCCGCCAGTGCGCTGCTTTTTTTTTTTCTGTAGCTGACAGAGAGAAGTGAGTTCTTATATAAATCCTTTGTGCGAAGATCAAACTGCGTGCATGTAGAACTATTATTTTTTTAGGGGAAAATCTGCCCTAAAATAATCATTCCATGTTATCCCTGCAGAGCATCTGCACTGCCTTTTAAAATGCATCCAAGGCCACCCTCAAGAACAGACAACACTGGCAGACAGCGGTCTGCTCCTGAAGTCTCCATGCATGTGGGGAGGGCAGAGCATGGGCAGGCCGGGGCAGGATCAGGGTCAGGAGCAATGCAGCTGGAAGGGGCCGTAATCTGAGTTGCTCCTTGCAGACAATGTCAGCCTTTGTACTGAGAAAAACTTGTGGGGCAACGCAGGAACCGGACCGGGGCATGTGAAAAAGGTGTTTCTTTACCTAGCCAGCTTGGACTCCCCAAGCATCCAGCTGGCAGAGCCTGGGGTTTCAGTCCAATCTTGTAAGTTAACGTTAGTTTACTAACAGAGAGAGGAGTGGAGCATTTGGTTGAGAAAACATAGGCTTTCATTCATAAACTCAGAAACGCTTGTAATGGAGAGGAGAATCAGCAAAAACAATCAACTGATTACAGTACTATTGGGAAATTCTTGAAAAAAAAATATAAAGACTAAAGAAGAAAGTCCCTAACTGGCAGATTTAGGATCAAGTTCGGTGTGGCTTGGTGTTTAACTATTAAACTATTTGATTACCAACAAGAAAAATTACCAGATGCTAGTATAGTGAAGCCCCCATGTGTGACACCAAGAAGTAGCACAACTCGCTGTAGCAGCTTATGTTTGGGAAAGCCTTCCTCCCTCCTTCTTTTGCTCTTTCTCTTCTTTCTCCCTTCCTGTGTTCCTGATTTGCTTGAATACAATACATATGGGTTTTACAGCCAGCCCTAATTTTCCCAGAAGGTACAGCCCTTAAAAAGCAGCACAGGCTCTTTTACTCAGCACCATAAAAACGGACTTGCGCTCCACTGTGACCATCCAAAAGATGGATGAACCAATTCCATTAAAATAAAAACATTCTACTAATGCCCTTCCTCAGCAAAGTTTCTGCCAGAACCAGAACTAAACCCTAACCTATCCTTTATTAAAGTGGAGAAAAATCAACTTCCTTTTATTCCCCCATTCATTTTCTGCTGCTGTGATTTTTTGAATTTTAGGCAAGTCCATGACCAAGAGCTGCAGGGCCAAAAGGGGCTGGATGTGCTGTTTTCCTGGCCCAAATGGAAGCAGGAAATACTAAACATCTTGCAAGGAAGCCTGTTCTCATCAGGATTATAGCCCAGCTTTTTCCATCAAAAGCAGTGAAGATGGTACAGACACAGTTCAGAAATGCATCCAAGCATATGGAAGTATATCTACACTAATCCTCCTTTTGAGCTTCATCCAGCACTAAATCAGAGCCACACCGGACAGAGGAATAATGCAATAACTTGTGAAAAAGCATGGCTCCTCCTTATTAGGATGGGAAAAATTAAATAACATGACTCACTTTTCTCCTTAAAAACTGTTGGAGGAATGTTAACAGCACAAAGTCAGGTACCTTATTTTTCCTGCCCTGTGGCCATACATCCCCAAGCACCACAGGCTACATGTGCAGGGCAGTCATCACTGGGACAGCACCTGCAGCCTCGGAAAAGTACCAGGATAAGTGCAAGAGTGACAACACTCACCTGCGAAGCTGTGAAAACATCTCTTTGCAGGGTTAACCCACACAGTGCTCATCACGCTGTGACCACAACCACTGCCTTAAGATGTCCCCTGAAAGCATCACTACCAGAGGTCTGGGGATGGAAGCGTGCACAGCCTTATTTTCCCAGCCAGAACACAGAGTGCTCTGTCTGTGGGAGGAAAAGGGCTTTTCTGAGCTCATCAGAGGACAAGAGGGCCCTATGGCTCTGGCGAGGCCCAAAGGGTGTGCCATCGGCACTGGCTCGGACGTGGGAGCAGAATAGGCAGCACAGTGACATTGCACTCTTCATCACGGGCTCTAGCCTCACCTACTTAAAGCAAAAGCAACAGAGAAAGCTGCAAGATGAGACCTGCACCAAGTGCTTGAGATGCTCGAGCAGCAGTAGCACATGCTGAACAGGGCTTGGGTCCTTCATTGTTCTGTCTCCTATGCCCAAGGGAAAAAGAGAATTTTCTAACAAGTGCAACTGTGCTCCGCAGCCTCCAAACACTGCTTTCTGGACCTCAGACAGGGGACAGAAAGAAGGGCTTTCAGCAGAGCTTGCTGCTGGAGTGCTGATGGGTTAGGGAGCTTAAAAAGAGCTGTCAGCTGACAAAACAAGGTGGGTAGTTATGGATACAAGTTAGGAGAGTGACAGGAAAAAATAAATACAGCTCCACGCACACAAGCACATACACGTGCAGAGCCAGCCTACCGCTTGCAAACAGACTATTATTTCCACACATAAACAGCTTCAAACTAGAATTTTCTTGATCACATTTATTGCCCATTCCTGATTAAAACTGGAAGAAATCATATTTATCTCTTTTCTTAAAAAAAGAAATTATTATATGACCCAGTGGAAAACCCTCTAAAACATCCAGTTCTTCAAAATCACTGACCAGAATCTCATCTGGCATAACTCAGGCTTGTTATCATAGGATCAGAGAAGCACAGAATGGTTTGGGTTGGAAAGGATCTTAAAGACCATCCAGTTCAAACACCTCTGCCATGGGCATAGGCACCTTCCACTAGACCAGGTTGCTCCAAGCCCTGTCCAGCCTGGCCTTGAACACTGCCAGGGATGGGGCAGCCACAGCTTCTCTGGGCAACCTGTGCCAGGGCCTCATCACCCTCATAGTAAAAATTTCTTCTTAATATCTAATCTAAATTGATCCTCTTTCGTTTTAAAGCTATATAAACATCTACACAGCAGAGCATCTTTACCCTAGCTTAATATCTGCCCCATATGTTGTTTCTTTAGAACAACTTGTCTTCCCCCTTGGTTTTTTTTCAACACATGCATCTGGTTTAAGGTGACTTTTCCTTTCCCAGCATATGGAGCTGAATGATTATGATGATTTACATTTATTTTAAATCACAACCTATTAAATGGAAAAATAAATGCTAATATGTTGATATGGTTTACTTCTGAATGAATTATTGATATGAATTAGTAGTTGCAGCTATCATAATTACTGTTTATTAAATAAATATATTTTGAATTAGAGACACACTTGATTAAGAAATCACTTTTTTGTCTGAAAATTGTGTCCCTGCTGCTAGTATAAGAAATACCTCACATTAAATAAAAAAAAAAAATGTTGGTGAAATTATTCTATTTTTTTATCTATTCCTTTGCTCTGTGAACTTGGCAGCACTTTGTGCATATTCCCTTTCACTGCTTCTCTCCTCTAATCAGTTAAGTGAGGCTCTTTCCCCTCTGTTGTTTGTGTGGATCTGTCACATAGCACCTAGAGACACAAAAAAAACATTTTAAATAGGAAAATGCAAAACACAAAAAAATAAAGGATTGAGGATCAGATACCTGAAACTCCTCTCAACATTTTCTTTTAAGCTGAACACACTTCATATTAATGGTGACTCTTTAACATAAATAATGATCTAATGAAATAAATATGAATTCGAAAGAATCATAAAAAGAATTTTACATTTAAGAATGCCATCTGTGTAACACTTAGCCTAACAATGAAATCATTTTGGTGCCAAAACAGCTCACTCCTCTTCCAGCACAAGTTACAGGGTAATGGTTTTGCAGAACAGCATAAAAGTCTGAGTCCAATCACAGGAGGAACACCTGGGTTCAAACGCAGACAATGAATCTCTCACATGAGTTTTGAACTAGCCCCTGCTAATGTTTCCACCTCAAGCCATCACAAATTTTTCATGTGGCTGATGATTTTTATCAGAAGGAAATTTTGATATCTGAGGGGAAGATTTTGCGGGTCAGTGTGGAGGTATCTTGCAACAACTATTGCATTGATTCTCTGCTTTCCCACTGTGGAAAACTGCCCTGAAATCCAGAACCCGTTTTGTCAGACTGAAAAGCATAGGACTCAGAAACAAGACCACCTTTATATGTATCTGTAGTGGATAAAGCACTTAGGACTTAACACCAGATTAATGTCAGCCCTTACAACTGGCGTCCTAAGGCTCAGGGCTCTCTGGGCATGCAGTTGGAAGACCTGCATCACAGGATGGAGATGCTGTTTCATGATCTGGGAAGCCAAGCTCCCGCCTTGTGCGAGGCGGCGCAGCAGAGCCATGCCGAACACAATGGAGATTGTTTGTTTATACCAGCCGAAGAGAAGGGAACATATTTGTTTTGAGTGAGTTGTGTTAGAATACATATTGTTTTATATGCCCAGGCCTCATTACGCTGTGCTAGTCTTCAATATGGATCAGATCCTAAAACTGCTCGGCATACTGAAATAAATGTGAGCTCTACCCACAGAACATCTCCAGACTTAGGCCTCACGTCTATCAATGTCATCTCAAAAAAAAAACAAATGTTCAAAAAAGAAAAACAACAAAAGTATCTTAGAGACGGTGGAGGATGCTCACGTGCGGGAGATGCCATTCAAGGGGATGCTGAGGAATTACTTGGAGAGATAGAAATCCATGAAACAAGGCTGGAGAACAGAGTGGGCCTGAAAGAAAAGGAAAGATAATTAAGGTTCACTGAAAGAAATATGACTTGTACCACTTAGGTTTGTAATTTAGGAGTTATTCTGAAACCAAGAGGAAATTCTTCCTTCACATCAGCGATGTGGCTGCATTAACATCTCTCCAGGCAAAGGTGGCTGCAACCCATATTTTGTTTAAAGATATATAATCATGAGAGCATCCACAGAGGAAGAGTTAAAACACTGTTCAATAAACAACCTGAAGTGCAGTACACTGTATTCATATAAGGGAAGGTATGAGCCAACAGAGAGAGATGTTCAGCTGCAATCAAAGAGGATCTGAGCCTAACTGAGTGCTCACATGACAGTTGGGATCATTTCGGATCCCTTCCAATGAAGATAAAATAGCATCAAAAGCAAGGAGGCTTTTTTTCTTTCTTTTAAGGATGAAAACACAACATCATTAGTCAAATTTAGTCTGAACTTCACCCTCCTCATGTTGATTTGTACTCAGGTTGAGTAAACATATCTTTCCATCAAGGTAAATAAATGTAAAAGCCTATCAGTAACTTAATTGACTAAAGAAGGATGCAGTGCGGGGTGTAACACTGTTTTTGACTGTAATGTTGAAGTTAACGACCTCTCAAAAACACCCATTATACAGCTTGGCAGAAAAAAAATCTGTTTCCTCTTGAAAATTTGCTAATACAATTTCAAACATTTTCAATCATTTTTTTCTTAGTGTTGGGTAGGGGGTGGAAACCTTCGAGGACAATTTTCCAGGAGGCCTAATGTAAAATGGAGTTTGAGAAGCTGTCTTTTGCAGGCCTGCATGCCACAGATAAATTCAGCTTGAGAGAAGCAGAGAGTCCGCAGTAAGGGCAGAAGTTACACAGCATGGGGGAAATATTTCCAAATGAAAATGGCCATGGTACTGAGCATAGTCATTCTCTGGGGTGGATGGAGGGCTCAGCCTGTGGATGTGAGGAGGAAGCCTAATCTCAGATGCGTAGCACACACCTAGAGACATCTGTGAATGTGCCCTCCTCTGTCCTTGCACACCTAGTGCCCCGGATTGAGAAGACCCACGGGAGAAAACAGTTGCCATTAAAATGAAGCCATTTAATAGAGGTGCAGGCAAAATCAGCTCTCTGGTGAGAGGACAGCGAGGGAAAAGGGTATGCCATGAATCTGAGATTGAAATCTGGCTTACGGTGGGCGGGCAGGCAGAGTGCAGAGGCACAGCTGCCAGACTGACATGATGGATCAGAAAAGCTACTAAGGAGCTGCAAGAGTCCAGGCAATTGAAACAAAGTAAAATGGGAAAAGGCAATAGGTCAGACCATCTTTACAATCTACCAATTAAACAATCATCCACTTCCAAGAGCGTACAGTGTCCTAAGCAGTAGACATCCCAGCACGTGATTGATACCATGATGGAGGAACAAGCTTACCAACAGGAATTAATAATAATAATTACTAGGAGCACTAATAATTTTGGATAGGTTGTTCTGTAGCGAGCCCCTCTGAGGAAATATCATGGTTGGGCATTTTGGCTTAATTCTATAGTCCCATATCAGCTTTACTCAGCCCACTGGAAAACAAGGGTGTGTTCACAATTGTCTATTATGTGGGAGGCTTTTACCAAAATCTCACTCTCCTTCATTCAAAATCTCAGTCTCCTTCTCCATGGTGAGTGCCACAGAGTCGGCTTCAGCTGCTTTCTCCAAAACCCAAAGCTTTCAGAAACGCTCATTTCTGCTGGCATCACTCAACAGCTCATTGTTAGAATTTGTTCTCATTGGCATGCATGAGCTGAGACTGATGTATGGGGCAATCCAGAGTGACAGCCTTCAGCCCCAAAAGTGGATACCTGCTTCACTTAGAGTCCGGGGACTCACACTTGACTGAGAAGGATATATGCAAAAATTATCTTTCCTCTCTCATTTGCCTGTGTAAAGCCTAAGCGTCTTCATCCAAATTAGCAATCAGGCAAACTGTGCATGCAGAAATCTGCACTTGTACAAACTGTGCATTTTTTTGTAACATTCCAAGATTAAATATCTTGACAAAAGATGAAAACCCTTTAACAAATCTGCCCCTAGAGAAAAGTAACATTTTTTTTATTCCATTTACTGTCAAATGACATAAAGTATAGCTGAACACAGGCCTATAGGTTGATTTGTTGCTTTAAATAATGTCACTAACATCCAGATATCAATGTGATGGTGCAGAAAAAAAAGTTCACATTGAGCTAGATTCAATTACAGACCTAGAAATTGAAATTAAGTCTGATGCTACATGCTTAATTCATGTTTGTGTGACTGAGAAAGGGAGTATCTGGTTTACCTTGAATTTCCTGCCTTAGGGTGGTGAAAACATGACCCATCACTTTAATTAAAAAATAGTTTTCAAATGCAGCTTAAGTGGTATTGCATTGGCAGGAGGACACAAACACTTTTTTGTCTTCGATGTGTTATGTGATATAAAGGAAGCTGTTCAACGTCTTTTTCCTCGATTCCTGGATAGGTCTTACAGTTCTCGTTGAAGAATAGGAATAAATAGAATGACCTCTCATAATGAGGAAAAAAAAAGGTTCTTCTTTAATCAAAAAATCAAACATTTGCCCCTCAAAACCCATAATTATCTTCTGACCACATAGTTTGAAACAAGTGCATATTGGCAATTGTCACACATGTTAAACCAGTCTATACTTATCTCATTTGGGTATTACACCCAGTATGGTATGCTCACGTTTAATACCCTAAATTACTGTATCATATCAGTGGACTTTCTACCAGCACACATTTGACTACTGATTTCACATATGGGGCTGGGACTAACTTTTCTCCTAATATGGTAATGGCACAGGCACTATTTAAATGATTCCTGAGCCTTGTAAATATACACCAGATGTATCTTTTGTAAATGTTACATTTTTCAACATCTCAGCATTTGTGAATAGTTGAAAGCGATGCCAGCCATGCTTTAATGGGGCACGGAAGCAAGCTGCATTCAAAGAAATGGCACACCATTGCAATAGTCAAAATTACAAGTGCTGTCAAAATGCTACATTTTCACTTTATGGATTAGCCCCAGGTAAAGCAGGTCTCCATATCATACTGTCATACATGCCTGTTTCACATGCCTGTTTCAGCTGATGTTTGCCCACGTGGGCACAGAGAGAGGGATGTGGAGCTCCCAGGGCTGCCCCTGGGAAGGAGAAAGTCAGAGCCCCAGAGAACCAGATGTACCCCCCAGCCACCCGGATGGGCCAAGGTAGAGCAGGAAGGGATGTGGCTGCTGCTGCTCCCACTGCTGTGGTCACCATCTATTGCCAAGAGGAAATGACAGGGATACACACACTTTCCCAGGGCTAGGGAGGAAGCAACGTGCACTTTTTCTACCGGCACTGATGTTTGAGGCTATGATAAATTTTCTTGTGGCACAGGCTCCTGCTGCTTGGTCCTTCCTCGTTGCAGAGGTAACTCAGCACAGAGAGAGGGACCTCTCCTGGAGTGCATGGTGATTTCATTCAGCTGTAAGAAGCAGCCACCTCCTGGGTTTTCCTGGACCACTTTTTTCCCCGAGGCTTTTCCTGGCTTTTCCGTGTCACCACAGAAATCTCACAGACGACCCAGGAACATATGTGTGACAAGCCATGGAAAATGTCCTCTCCATACTTCCTACCTCACGGCACTTACCCTACCCACCACCACCGCTTCCCGACTGTCCCGATGTTCTCCCTGTTAGTACCAGGCAGTAAAAGGAGCCGTCAGAAAATCAGCCATCACATTTGCCTGAAAATGCACTTTTCCTTTGCAAGATTTGCCCCTAAGCTGTCCCACAGATTAGAAGAAAGGCCTTTATGCTTTTGCACAGTTACTATTATTTGCAAGGCATAGTGCTTTTGCTTGGTGAATTTTGTGCTGGAGTTCCGCAGTGTGCCTCAGTCCAGCAAATCAACTAAAATCAAAGCTAGGTGACACATGACAATAAACTTAGAACAGAGTAGATGTAATGCCCCACTACAAGTATTATTTCCAAGTTCACAGGCTTGCAAATTAAAATGTCCCTGGATCGCTGCCATAAGAAAGAACATTAAAAAACAGGGGAAGAGGTCTGGGCATCTGTTAGAAGCATCTAATATATACCAAATGTGTATGCTGATCTTCTTAGATATATGTGTTGTTGAAATATAGCCTACAACTAATGTAAAAGCAGAAATATTTTAATTGTATTTTTCCATTTGATATTCAAATGAAAAAAAAATCTTATTAAACACAACACTTGGCTTTGCTATTTTAATAAAAAATAAGTTGTTGAGGAAAAGAAAAGCAAAACTACTGATTCCTTTCCTTATGATGATCAAATGAGCCTTTCATGTTTGTATCTTATACTTCACTTTTTAGCATTTTGAGGCAAATAGCAGATATCAAAACTTAGTAAATAATCAAAGACTTACTCAGTTTTTCCAAACTGTCATGCCGCTTATCTTGTAATAACTGATCTCTTAGGTAGCATAAGCTATTTAATTGCTACTGAAGATTATTTGAATGAAAAAAAGAGACGACATTCTCCCTTACCCCTCAAAAAAACAAAACTATATTCTTCAAAAAGACACATGCAGACAGATAGATTCTGATCTCTTCTACACACTCACAAGTGCAATAGCTAATTTTACAAGATTTGATAGGAGCTGCATATCTGAGATTACACCCTGTCCTCCTGACTGCATATTCCACATGGAAAATGGCTTAATTTGGAAATAAATTTCATTGCTGATAAATCCAGCAACATAGTCTGTGGGCATCCAAAGAACCAAAGCTATTGAATCATTTTAAAAAGCAGCTAAGTATGCACAGCAACTGTATTTTAAAGGGACTTTTCACAGTGTTGGCAAAGTGCGTATTCATGTATCCCCTCTGACATGATAGACTGTAATGGCTTCGGTCTGTCATGTCAACCATCTGCATATTAAACAGTCCCTAAGTACACATTGACACAGCAGACCCTAATAGCTCTGAAGCCGTAACAATCTATTGAGTCAATAATATGCATGTTAAAGAGCATCTCCTGCACTTCCATCAATATATTTTATCTTTTCCTTAATTTGTATCTTCTTTTCATATGTATATGTGGAGTTAAGGTTTTAGGAACCTTTATCCTTTAACGTGCTGCCACAGATGTGAAACATGTGGCACAGAAAGGCATATGCAGTAGCAAAATGCTTCCCTAGTATCTGGGCCAGATCTTAAAATGAGCACTGTAATATTTTTATGCTGGCAGCACACGTTCTTCCAGATAAGGTGGAAATAGCCCCTCTTTTCTGCTGGGCCTTATCCGGTGCTGGTGAAAAGCCCAGGAAAGATTCCTGATAATTTCAAAGGGTTTGGATGGAGCCCAGTGTGATGCTACTCATTTCCTATTATACATTTCCTTCTAATTAAATGAAATAGGTCACAAGGGGAAAATGAAACAAAAGACGAATGTATTTACTTACAGCAATATCAACCCCCCCAAAAAAGACAATCAGAAACAAGAGAAAAGAGAGTCAAAATACACTGATTCTTCATTAGCTTGAAATTACGTCTGGTACCACAGTCTTAATTCATTCCTGTGTGATCCCGAGATCTTTTGTACCATGGGAGAGGGAGGCTGTTATTTAAGCATAAGAAAATGGTGACTTAACTTCTTTTGTCTAAATAGCCACAGAGAAAAAGCTTAATTTGCTTTTACCCCAACTTCACATCACTGTACCGTGGTGTGATCCTCTCACACCCTGATATAAGACTTCCCCATCTTCTTCCACTCGTGTTGCTTTCTGTAAGCATCGCAATTTGGCTCACACTTTTAAGTGAAACCAAAATGCAGTTTGTGTTTCCAAAAGGCTGACCCAGGGACAGGGAGGCCACCTGACCCTATCAGCAGATCTTACTGGCCTGAATTCCCCTCTCCTTTCCACTAATTTGACACCAATGCATCTTTGAAGCACATACGGATTTATTCCAGCATATTCTTAATCAACTTTCACACCAGTAAGGGCGGAATCCTAGTACTCTACCGGCTGCTTTCCAGGAGTGTGCAATTCGTCCTCCCTCTGCCTTGCATCATTTCATGTCCCCAGGCACACCAGCCCAGCCCATCTAATTCTGTGACCCGCTTCAAGACAGCATCCCCTAACATCATGACAAGCACTGAAGGCACCTGCCCTCTATTAAGCCTTCACAACTTTCTTCTTGTAGCCAGCAGGTTTTTTCTTCCCAATACAATGGCAGGGAAGTCAATCAGATGCCCACCTGCTTGCCCAGGAATTTACCCAGGTCTTCAAAGCCTTGGAGTAGTGCATCCACCTCATCCTACATGCCACCGTGTGTGTTTTCAGGACAGAACTTTCTGAACAGCAGGTAACGCAGTGCTCACATGCACACAGTGTTCATTATTTGAGCTTATCCACTGAAGATCTAGCAATCACATTTGGATTTGGGCAGGAGATTTTTTTTTCTAAATGAAAAATCTATTGAAAAAAATCAAAGCAAATGAACAAAAGCTAAAGGATAGGTGCCGTAAAAAAAAAGATAAAAGTCACTGAAAGTCCTGCTATCTACATTGCCAGTATTTCCTTTAGCTGAGGGAGTCAGCCCAAGTGGAGCTCTGGAAGGGTTTATTTCTGAGGGAAATGGTTCTTTGCCAGATCCCTTCTGTGATGCTGCAGTTCATTACCAAATAATAGATGAAGCTCAGTCCTCTCTCTGCAATAATATGGGTACAGCTTTGCCCCTTTGAGGAAAATGTGTCCTCCCTGGACTGTCTAAGGAGCTCTCATTTTCTATTCACTCTAGTCAATGCTGGTACTCTCTGTGTAGCACCAAGTCCCATAGCCAGGGCCAGTCCAGCCCTGGGGAAAGTAGGAATGTCACACAGCAATGACACAGCAGCTCTGGACCATATATGACACCCGCCTGATCATCTGTCTCTTCCATTTGCACTTAATGAGCCCCGCAAGCCTCTTTTCCTGTACTTACCAGAGTTACCAAGCAATGGCAAAGGAGGAGGAGGGCTGTTGGCCACGCAGCCAGAAAGAGAGTCCTTTAACACAAATCCTCTGCACTGAGGATTACCTGGCTGGGTAACACTCGGTCCAGGCAGCCAGCACTTCCAGGAATTGTTCCACTGATTTATGAGGAGAGGTCGCCCAGTTCAACCCTACGTCACAGTAACTGTTACCAGCTCCAGGCAAAACAAGAGTCACCAGCCTCAGTCAGTAAACGAGCCAGATATGGAAGGGCGATGAAGAGAGGGAGAATGAAAGAAACACAATACCACAGGCAGGGTGCTCCTTGACCCCCTAGCAACCACCTGATGAACACTGCAAGTGCAAGGTGGGCTCACCAAGAAGGGCCTTGCTTCCTCCACCTTATGCCCCTCTTGTGTAAGCCCATCCCACAGCCAGCTCCATCTGAGCCTGCCCCAGGCTGGACTGATCTTGAGCCCACCAAAGTCAAAGGAAAGATTCCCAATGACTTCAGTGATGAGGGCCCCATACCCTCAGGCAAATGTGGGAGAGCAAAATGTGGGCAGGGCTATGATTTCACTGCCTGTGTGCATAGGATGTCTTCTTCCCCACATGAAGGAAGGCTGGCCACCCTTCCCACTTCTTTGGTTCTCAGTGTTCAACACTGCACCTGGAGTTATCTTCCATTTACCAGGGAGCTGATTTAAGTGTCTGACTCAGTCACATATGTTTGGCTCCCCTATCCAGAGTAAGATTTGGCCTACTAGCTGTGAAAACAGCTTATATCACATGTGCTGCAAAGCCTAGCCAGAACAGGCTGAATAAAGGATGAAGTTTAATCATGGAAATGTTGACCTACAAATAGAGAACAAAATGTTAAACCACATGGTATAGGGTGCTGCACGCCCCAAATATCAAGGAGAGAAAGAAGAATTGAACACATTTGGAAAGTAAAGCTCACTGTTTGGGGTTTGGGGCTGTTTTTTTTTCTTTCCCTTTCTGCAGATTCAGAGAGTCAGACCCACACTGTTCCCGCTCGCAATGACACCCTAGCATCTGAAGAACAACAAGACACCCACCACAAAATGCTGCTGTTGGCTGGCACCGTCTAAAGTGGTGGGATTGGTGAGGGAGGTGAGACTGCCAAAGGAAGGCGAGTGGGGGTGTCACAGCCAGTGGGACCCGGCCACCAGCGTGACTCAGGTCTATGGGACCTGTGCAAACTGGGGTGAGGTAAACGTGAAGGGGATGAACGCCCCTTTCATCTCTCGTCCTTGAAAGCTAGCTGTGGGTTACCTCTAGCAGCTTGGGGGGGGGGGGCTCTGTCATTATTTTCACACCACCTTCCAGCTGGGGTGTTCTCACCTTTGTGGGTTTCACACAAAGAAGGGCAGCTTTTTTGGCAGAGAATCCGTTTCCATTTTTAATCACAACCATCACACAAACAGTTCATCTCACAGGACGTGAAAACTTTCTCATAGGCTTTATTTAACATCATTTGGGGGGTTGCAAAAGACGAAGAATTTTTTAAATCAACAACAGTCTTGCTTTTCAATAACTTGCAGGCTTTGTCTTTAGGTACGCTGCATTTTAGACAAACATAGTTAAGAGCAGCCGACCAGACCTTACTGACTGACAACTGTTTCTTTACAGGATTTCTGTGTGCCAAGGAGCTGGACAGTAATATCCATTTGGTATTCATGGAAAGTACTTGCAGAACAATAATGACAATAATTGCTTCTGATTCTTGTGTTTACAACATTGCCAAAGTATCATTAGAGCCTTATTTATAGATAATAATGCTTATCAATCACACATATTTGAATTTTGGAATGTATTAGATTAATATTCTTTTGTAACTTGGTTCTGCACTAATGCTATGAAAAGCACTTTCTGAATGCAGCCCACTAGGAAGGGCTCACCGCAAAAAAGTAAAAGCATCCAAGCCATCTGCAGGTGAGGGACAAAGGGCATACCTCTTCCTCAGCAGGCAAAACGCTGGAGCCGGACACGCAATTCCCAGAAGCAGATCCTTTGGACTAAAATCGGGGGCGAGCTCCTGAAAAAAAAATAGCGTGAAAGGTGTGATAGTAGTGTCGTGCTTGAGCTTGCTTTTTGATGCTCTAAGGAAGGGTTTGCTTTCTACTGATTTATAAAGAAACTGGTTTTGGGGGTGAAGAAAAGGTCCATCTATCATCCCACTCTTTAACACCCTATTCTATCTACTCCATGGGTGAGTTTAGTCTGGACCTCAGGATTCCTCATTAGTTAAGAGGTGGGTAATGAGAAATATAGCACAAAAATCACTCCTAATTTTGGTTATTAAATAATTCCAGCTTTTCTGTATCGATGTCTGCTGCAATTCAATAGCAGGAAAATGAATTTTTAAAAATTACAGTTATAACAAGCAAAAATGTCACCCAAATCTAAATATCAACTGCCATATATTCATATTCTTCTTTGTCTCCCTGTAGCCCATTACAATGCTGAAAAATAAACCAAAGCAACTGCAGTACCAAACTCCAATTTTTGGAGTGTGGCCAGCTCCATAAATTTGTGTTTAAACAAATAAAATCCATAACAGTGTAGTATGTCTTTCATTATTATTTTTTCCCCTTGCAATGGTTCTCCAAGCAAATGTAAAGAGGCTCTGTCGGTTTAGGGACCATATTTCCGTCTGCCTTTTTTTTTCCCTTTTACCCGCTGCTGATGTAACTACTATAAATGTCAGAAATTAGAGAAACTGGGAAGGGGGAGTGTGAGTGGGGTTGTATTTTATTCTGTGTGTCCATTTTGTGGTTTTTATGGCATTCCCTGCACAGTCAGGATAACCTGTTCCTCAATGTCACAGCCCCCATTGTCTCTAGGGATCTTTCACAGTGGCAGAAAAAAGAAATAATTAAAACTCAGAAGCTTTAAATTGCAAAGAACACTTGTGGCTTTGCTGCAACTCCCCCAAACTGCCTCTACCCGATATATTTTAATAGACAAAATTACAAAGTGATGGTGCCCCCTTAAAACGTGTTTCGTCCATTAATATTCTAGCGTGCTTCGCTTACTTTGTTTATAAAACGCCAGTATTGAGGTTTCCCAGGAATTTCAAAACTATCAAGACAGCCAGTGCTGAGCCCAACCCAATCATTTCTAGATGAAGACAGGACCTGAAATAAAATTAAAACCTCGCACTGCAGTTAGACATTAAACCAAAGAGCAAAGTTGAAACCAGGATGCAGAGGGGAGCCCCATCCTTACGGGTTCGGCACAAAAAAGAGGGCCTCCGCTCCCGCCCGAGTACCCCAGCTCCTGCTGGGGCTATGGGGCCAGCCTGTCCCTGGTTTTGCTGGAAGGAGGGTCCCCCAGCTTCACCTACCACTTGCAGGCAAAAAAACTATGCCTCCGAGCATGGGCACCAGGGGTGCACAGAGCTTCAGGCTGGACCCCTTTCCCACTTTTGTCTCAACACCATCAGGAAAAATGGATCCCAAAACTTGGTGGTGCTGCACCGAGAGGACTTTGATAACCAGTCACAGGTTTTGGTTCCCTTGCTTCTCCTCATCTGAAGAGGAGCCCATAACCCAGGTGAATGCGACCTTCTACAGGGTTCACCAGAGCAGAGGTGTTTACGGCATATTCTCCTCTCTCCAGCCATTGGCTGCTCCTGAAAATATTTGTTATATTTTCCTTAGGTTTCAGCACATCACAGTGGAGAAAGCTGTCCCTATAACAGGTCTTTAAAATTTATGTCTTATTCTTTCCTAACAGTCTTAAGAAATAGCTGGAAGGGTTCACTACTAAGATCCTAATTTCAGAAAGTCAAAACGTGAGCATTTAAAATCATAATTCACCCTATGCAGATTCCAGACTTCTTATTTTCTTAATTGAGCAATGAACAATAATTTCTATTATTAATGTCTGTTTTTTTCAGGGTGGTAGTGTTTCAACCGTTTCTCCTGCCTCTCTGAGGGAAAAGGCAAAGAGTTATCACATGGGGAAAGGTAGATTTATGTTTTATATTCGTAGGGCTGATGCTAAACCTATACAAAGATAAAAACAGAAATTTCCAGTGATAGTATTTTGCTTTTTTTTTTCCGCTTTGCTTTTTTTTTTCAGCCAGAGGTACCAGAAGTCAGATTTCTGGGCCCACATTTGAGTTCCTAAAGAAAAGTGGCCACATTTTTTATATAATACTGACTTTTCACAGTTCTCACTGAAGTCAAATGAAGGCGTAAACACCCAATGCCCTTGAAAAATAGTCCCTTTCCTGAAGTACCCCTTTCCTACACCTGTATGAACCCCCAGTATGACAAGGCTAGCCCTCCTGCACAAAATAAGTAAATGACCCTACAAACCCTGCTAACATATCCCATCCATTTCAGCACAAGTTTGAGCATGAAGAATCAGGTCTCAAGAAAATCCACTCAATGACCAGTAAAAACACCTTCCTAAAGTTAAATGGGGTTAATACAGGCTACATTTTTGGATTTCTAGATATGGGACATGAAAATTGAGACAGCTAAGTTTCAGGTAACTTGTTCGCTAATTGTATCTCAGTGGTCACAAAACATTAAAAATGAACATTCAACTGGAAAAGATCTAAACAGAGAGAGTTTCAAACCTGTATTTTTGTCATACCTTTTTATTTGCTATATTTCTCACTAGAACAATATTATTCTGTTTGTATTTAGTGTTAGGTTTATCATCAAATAGCTATTCTTTCTGCTATCAGATTGCGTGACTTTGTATATTTATCCCTCCAGACGCATGGCAGGAACATTTCTTTTCCTTATTTTTATATCATCTACAGCAACTAAAATTTGGAATTTGCAGTTTCACATCATCTTCATAGAACTCTAAGACACAAGCAGGAATACAAACAAAAACATACCTTTTCATCAAGCAACCTGCTAACCAAAAGGAGAAAGAAAATAATCGCATATTTCTAAATAGTCCTGTAGGATTCATATACTTTTACTATGTGCTATGTATTGTATAGTTCCTCCCTCTGTTGTGACATCTCTGATTACTTTAAAAAAAAACTTTCAAAAACGTTAAGGCACAAACCTTTGTATGGAGTACTTTTAGTATGCTTTTTATTCTGACAAGGTTAATAATTATCCTATAAGCATGACACAGTGTTTTAAAATGTTGTTTCTGCTATGAGCTAGCATTGTGCATATGGGTATAAATGTGGAAAGAAAGGTTATTTCACAGTAGAGAAATGTATATTTAAACAAATTGTGATAAAATGGTGAAACTGTTTAAAGAGGAAAAGTTGAGGGGTTTCTTCCCCATCACAGTTATTCTGAACCCAAAATACCAGTAGCCAATTTCAGAAGGGCACTGACATTTGTAATGAAAACACGAGCTACTGAAATTAGTCTGAGATAATTGAGAGAATAATAGCAAATGTCCCAGGGCTTTGGGCAAAAGTGGCCAGAAAGAGATCCGCTGTGTGGCAGGTGTCAAGCGTGTCCCCCCATCACCAACAACCTGCCTTCTTTTGTGGCACCTGTGACTAGCTCCTAGTGGGAAACAGGTTATGGACTAACCATGCTTTGTGCTGTCCATCAGTAAGACAGCCCCTAAGTGCTTACAGTCCTCATGACAGCCTTAGTCTTCCCTAGAGCATGCAAGTGCTCTTTTCACAAGCTCATACACACCCAGCACTTCCCAATGGTGCAAAGACACCTTTTTTTTGCCCAACTGTTCAAAATGCCCAGTCATATGTATTCTGTGTACCATATGTAGCGACTACCATTGGGGCTGGCCTGGTTGGCCGGAGCCAAGCTGGGTAGGATCTAACCTTTAGAAGGCTTAGGCACTAGGACAAGGTCAATGTGGCCCTCAGACCTAACTCCATCCACACCAAACAAATGCAAAAATAATCTCTCAGCTGATATGAAGGTCTCATGGAGGTACAGAGGGTCAGATCCTGCTCATTCCAAGGAGGCAAACCTCTGGATGGCTTCAATGAACAGGACAAGCAGGATTTAACTCATCTTAAGGGGCACAAGATTTGTCTTCCAGAGGCTGAGCTGTACCAGCTTGTTGAAGCAGGGCAGTGTCAAACACTGGAGTCAACAGGCTGTGTACTGAGGAGTTAACCAAGGGCTACGCTTTCTCCCTACTAAAACTAACTGCAAGGCAGGCGGTGGTACTGCAATTTGCCCGAGCTTTCATGCTGGGCTTCAACCCTGCTACCTGCTTTCTACTAACCTTCCTTGCAGGAGTAATTTTTAAATCATGTAATGCCAAGTGCCAGAGGGCTCGCTTTTTACAACATCAAGTTGAATCGCATCAACTCCCATTCTAAATTTAAAATATGATTGCATTACTTCACTTTATACTTTTTATAAAGGTCCCGTTGTGGTGAAGTTTCACAAGGTATAAAAGCCCAGGCAGGTATGATGGGCCATATCAATTCATTTCATCTCATTAATCAGCTGCTTAAAAATGTTTTCCTTGCAGCACAGCAGAAAAATAAAATAAATGTTCTTTTTTATCACTTCCCAAATTAAATTCATATTCCATAATGACCATATTTCATGTGCAAAATAACAAAATATGCTTACATACTTGACTTCACTTCTTTAGTGAATTGCTTCATTTGTAAAATGTTGCATATGAAATTGGAGCCTAAAATGAATTACTTGTTTTTTCTTGATATGAAACCTTGTTTAAGTTCACAGCAATTTTAAATATGATACATTTAAAATATTAATATTTCCCATATATTATTCACTGACTTTCAGGTTTCATCTCAAGTTAGTGGCACTTCATATTTCAAAGGAAGGAGTGTTTCTTTTTTTTTTCAGTACTAATGTTCTATTAATTCACTTTGTAATATCATTCTGGTTCAGACAAATGAAATTGCACTAAATTGCTTATGCCAAGAATCTTGCTAAAGTAGTTGGCATTATATAAAATTCCATATTCCATTACTATTTTATACATGTTTATCTCTGTAGCATCTTTTTAGGCATAATTCATAGCCCTGCTTCGTTAGCTCTCGAAAGACAAATATAAGCACAAATATTTTTACGCTGAGATGGGGGTGTATGTAGATATTTACAGTGAAGCCTGTAACTTACGGGACTTTTGCAAGGCACTAGATGCAAACTCCCAGTGAACTACCTTAACAGCTTTTCCTTTATGAACGTTCTTATTTTGAGTAGCTTTCCCTCCCAGAATGTATTTCACCACACACGTGTATAAACACACATGCACGCACACATACACGCTTGTGAAAAATAAACGTGTGTGCAGGCAGAAATACTCAAAATGCCTCATATGCATATTATGCAACGTATGCCATTCATGTAACCATTATATATATAAATAAAATTCATTTTATAGATGCTAACAAAAGATGGGAAGGAAGTCCTTAACAGACCTATAAAGGCCTAAACATAGATGGACCCTTCATCACATCCAAAGAACTGAAAGAACTGTGGATATAAACCAGAATTTTTTTATATGACCACGTATCTTTTATAAGCTTTCCATAAAGTCCACATGGCCAGATAACTATTTCCAGAGATGTGGATGGAACTTACACCTGGACAGGCTGGAAATCTTTAATGAGTAAAACAGCATTTAACCCTATGAAATGCCTTTCAGGAGTGAAGTATTATAAAGTGCTGGAGCAAGAGTAGCAAACAGCAGCAAAATCACCTGTAAATAGTAAGGAACTATAAATATACCTCAGTATTTCCACAGACGACTTTCTCTAATAGTCATCAAAAACAGATGCTTGGGAGCTAGAAATCCAACTCCAAGGAATGCAGATTAACACGTTTATATGAATTTATAGTCTGTGCCTTAAAGTTTAAGTTTGTAACATTGTTAATAACATATGCTCCTTTTGCAGTTCCCAGTGTTTGCTCTCTGCAATTTGCAAAATAAGATATTTTTTTCTCTCTAAATTTTATGAAAAAAAAAACAACACTGAAATTTGCAAAATAACTGATGCAAATCCCTGTCACTTGTGAACACAATGAAATTATACACAGAAGAGCAAATACAGGAGAGATTCCTCCTCAGAAACAGAAATGAATTCCCTGTTCCTATACAATCCTCAAACGCCAGGATTTTGAAATATGAATTAGACCTCAAATGCAAATTAACCTCGGAAGGGGGGGAGAGGGTAAAAAAGAAAAAACAAATCTGAGAGACATACCAAGTCAAACGCTCCTTTTTCTGCCTATCTCGTCCTCAATGGTAAAATAGGCTAAACAAAACAAGTGCACATCATCAAGACAGAGCCAATTAAGGACAGGAAAGCGGGGAAGGTTAGGGTAAGGAGGGGAGGAAGGCACCTTACTGAGCGCACGGGGAGTGGGAGAGCAGTATTCCCCCACACCTACCTTACGGGGGCTCAAAGGAAGACAACCGGGGTAAATTGGAACCAGCTTTGATTTTTGTCATCCGGTTGCACCCGGGATGCGGGAGAAAAGGCGGGGGGGGGGGGGGGGGGAAGGAATCGGTCTGGGAGGGAGTGGAAGGGAGATAAAAAAGAAGGGGGATATACCGAGCGAGGGTGCCAAACGGTATGCAAATGAATGGGTTTTTTGGGGGATGGTGGGTGGGGTGCGGGCTCTTTTAGGATAAGAGGGGAGTAGAGGAAAGGAGGCACCGTCAGTGGCGGGGTGAGTGGGTCCCCACCCGCACGCTCCGCACACGCGTGGGGGAAGCCGAGTGGAGTCTTGCGGGGAAGGGCGGGAGCCCCGTCGAGGGGAGCGGGGCAGCGCTGCCGGCTGTTGGGGGGAGGAAGCGTACGGAGGAGCGCGGAGCCGCCGCTACGCCGTGTCGGCGGCGGGCAGGAGCGGGCGGGGTGCGGAGGCTTCCCCTTCCCGGGAGCGGGGGTGCTCCAAATGGGGGGTGGGGGGGGAGGTGAGGGGCCGCTCCCTCTACCCCTCCTTCATTCATCGCCTCCCCCCAGCCCCCCTCCCCCGCTGCTCCCCCCGGCCCGGCTGCCTCACCGCTCCCGGCGGCTCCCCGCTTGGAAATGGAGACCGGCAACTCTCACCAGAGCTCACCAGCATCCCACGGTCCTGAAGAAGGAGTTTGGGGCGTCGGGGGGAAGCGGTCGGGGGGGGGGGGGGTGTTTGAGAGTGACGGTGAGGCGAGGAGGAGGAGGAAGGAAGAAGGCTGGGAAGAAGGGGGTGGGGGGAGACGGCGCTCCTGAAATGGAGCCAGCCCAAACGGGAGACGATGCTGGAGCAGGGGCTGCGTCATTTCGGGGCTGTGAGAGGGCTCAGCTTCCCCCCTCTCCCTGCTCACAGGCAGGAGGGGCAGGACAGGGCCCTCTCCGCAAGCCCCCGGGGAAGGGACAGGCAGGAAAACCCCACTCCAGGAGAAAGGATAAGCCACCTTCGGTCTGCCTAGCGATTCCAGGAAATAAAGGGCAGGGAGAGGCGTGCGGGGTCGCTGGGCAGGACCGGTCACGGTCACGAGTGGAGGTCCTCGGAGGGGCCGGCTCCCGCGGGGGGAAACGGAGTGTCACGGCCGGATGGGCTGCCGGGAGGGCGGGGGTAGGAAGAATGATCGGCATTTATAACTGCGGGGGAAGCTCGCAGCCTTTCAAAGAGTTTCATCTGGGTGAGTGGAAATGCCTTCTGCCCCTTTCACTTTTGGAAGTGCAGCGGTCTTTTAGAGGGAGGAAGCAATTTATTATTTTTTCCCTGCTGGACAGTGGGTCTCTTTGAGCTTACTGTCATGTCCTACGGCTGCAATTACAAACAAACTTTCCTTCTGCAGAGAGGAAGTAGCTGAGACTGAGGGTCTGAAGCTAGCGAGTGGCCAGCAGCTACCCCAGCCTTCACTGGCCCTTGCCAAGAAGCAACGGGAGGCAGTGGCCTGGCCCTGCGCAGAGGGGCTGTGGGTGCAGCACTGTGCATGTCCAAGGCAGAATAACGGCCTGGGAACACCTTTCCTTGTTTCAATTATACCCGCCTGGTCCAAGGCAGCTTCCTTTTGAAGCTCGTCCTCTCAGAAGCTTTCTAACCACAGCTTCAGATGTTCATGTGAATGTATTATTTTATTATTGTTATTATTTCCCTACCAGCCCATGGTATCAGCTTTAAAAAGTAAAGCTGCTCGTAGTGGGGCTGAGATCGCAGGTGCCACCACAGAGGCCCATGGTAAGCATCACTAAAAAGCAAGAGAAAACAGAGTCCCCAGGCAAGACTACAGTGCTGGTACACAACCATGTACAGCCTCATTCCAGCCTTCTACAGCACCTGCCACAGCAAAAGTGGCCAATGCAATGTCCTTAAAACACTGACCATGGTCATTATTATTATGTGCATGCAGATTTTTGCTTATTTAATGACTCTGCATTTGTGTGTATGCAATACAAGTGTGCTTGCACACACATATCTATGTGTACGTATATATTCAATAGTGATGAGCCTGTTAAACTGAGCAGTGATTTCTCTACTACAGATAGCTGTATAATACACACGCATAGCAATGATACCTAAGGTGTTTGGGGGTGGGGATGCATAATATCTTATAAATTTGAAGTTTTTATCAGGCAGAGCAGATTACTTTAAGCGTTCAATTTCTCAGCGATCCAATTTTATTAGGATTTACTATCATTTGTGCTGCACACCCCTGGGGAAATAATGCTTTGATTAATGTAATCCTGGGCTGGGATCTGCCACATGCCCCTCTCCCAAGAGAAGGGCCCTGTTTGACAAACAAAAACAGAGCAGCAACTATTGCAATCTGCACTCACCTTTCAAAAGCACACAGATCCACAGGCACACACACACACAAAATATAACCCCCGCCTCCCCCCGACCCTAAGTACAATAACAGCATCTCAAAACAATGTGAGATTATTCATTTGCACACAATGCCTCTGATTCAGTGTGGGCTGTACAGTCCAGCCCTCAACTGCACAGAGCCAGCCCAAAAAGGATCCTGCTCTGTCCCCCACTGAGAAGCTGAAGCATCTCTGGGAAGCTCAATGCCTCTCTGTATTTCAGGCTCTCCTTGGGCTCACAACATTTCTGCCTCTTTGTTTCCCACTGCAGGCCTTGACGCAAACCGATTCCAAGTCTGCTCCTTCAACCCACCGGCAGCCCAGGGGCCCGAGAAGCTGGCTGTCCCTGCGAGGCTCCCTGGCACCCACCTGGGGGAACATGTTCCTCCTTAAACGGGCCCTGGTAAGTGAATCACAGCCAGCTACTCCGCTCAGCTCACAGGAAGAGGGTAGGGGGGACACCCATAAAACAACCTCAAACAGAAAGTCATGTCACATACATTTTTAAAGAGAAGAAAGAAAGTATTCCTCCGCCTTTGGGGGTTCCTTGGGTTTGAGCAGCTTTGTTCCAGCCACCACCACCACCCCCACCCCACCCCCCCCCATCCCTTCTGTTTGTGTCACAGGCTGGCAGGAACAATAGCGTTTAAACAGGAATAAACATGCCCAGAGCCCAGCCCCGAAGAAAGCTTTCTCTTCCTTTACATCCCTAGGTGAACTGACCGGTGCTTCCCCTTTTCCTCCTCCTCACCTCTCCCCCTTAAAATGACTCCCAGCAGCTTAAATAGCAGTTTAATGTTGATTTTCTCCCTCCTATTTTTCCCTTCCTGTTCCCCCTCCCCGCAACAAAGCGGGTCCCACTGCGCCTGAGAAGGACACCCAGTCCCCAGAAAGAGGGCTCTGGCCGCACTTGAGACACTTTATTCCAAGTCCGAATTAATAAATCCAGGGGAGGAAGGAGGGGAGGGAGGGATCTCCAAGCTGGAGATGAGAAGGGATGCGGTTTGCGCAGGGGTTTTCAATAAGATGCTGCTTTCTTCTTCGTGTTTACCCACTGACCCCCAGTACGGTGACTCAGCGATTACCGAGCACTGGGTGTCTAGGGGGGAGGGCTTCCCCCCCTTACTCCTCCTTTTCTTTCCTGATGAAAAACGTTGCAATTACATTTCTGCATGCTGATCTGAGAGTTCAAATAACCAGCCTTAACCGCGTTATCAGGCGCTTGATAAAGAAGGAAGGAGGGGTGAAGGGGAGAGAGGAACAAATCTAGGCGTATGTACGTCTGAGCTTACGTATACCTATATATCCGTACAGTTACATATGTAGATAGATACATGTTTAAATGAAAGACTGCTAGAAGAAGAGATCGGCTGTTGTTCGGCCTGAGTCCCTGCAACCGAGCAGTTGAGGGAAGAGCCTCAGTTTAAAACAGCAGCAACCAAACGAGGGAAGGAGGAGATAGAGTCGCAAATCACTCCTGGGAAAAGTCATTTGGACCCAGTCTCTGGGTTTTCCCAGGACAAACTGACTCTCCTGCCGGACTTGATCCAGTTTTCCCGCTCCCTCCTCCCACCCCGGTGGGGGATCCATCCCTATTTCGCATTTTGCCTGCCTGGCAGTGGCTCCCTCTCCCCTCGCGCCCCGCCTGGGCGGGCGTTTTCTGACACCGCTGCGCGCCCGCGGCCAGCTTCGCGCTCGCGGAAAGGCCGGCAGAGGAGGGGAGGCCGCTGGGTGGTGGCGGGGCCCCCGCCGGTATTTCGGGTCCCCGCCTTTACCCTCCCCCTTTTTCCCCCCTCCCCCCTCCGATCCCCCCCCCAGCTCTTCGCTAGCGGCAAGAAATTGTTTCAGAAGTCGGGCGGCGGGACTGAATTCCGAGAGGGAAAGAGGGAATAAATGCGAGAAGATGATGAATAAAGTTAACTTTTGACTGTAGGAGTCATGATGGAGTTGAGCGAAGCGGCAGGGAAATATGTCATTTAATCCCAGGGCTACCGTAAGTCCCTTTTATCAAACATCGTGATGCTGGAATTATACTGCTGTAAAAGCGACTGAGTACTTAGAAGTATCCAGCATCAGGCACAAATACAGAGATGGGAGGAACGGGTGTAAAACGAACGCGCCTACAAACTAACCACACGACCATGAAAAGCCCAAGCGGATTAGATAAATATAAATAGGTGTGCCTTAAAAAAAAAAAGAAAAAGCCCGGTAAAACTGGAGCTGCTGCATTCACGCAACGAGAACAGAGAGCGTGTGCGTGTTTGTGTGCAATGCCAAAAAGAGCAGCCTTAAGGTTGACCTACTGCAATCTGCACTGAGCTCCTCAGACAATAGCCAAGTTCAAATGTCAAAAAATCTAATAATAAAAACCAGACCTGCCAAACTGCACGAACTGTTTCCTGGTGTATCACAATTATTCACCCTCTTATCCACTAAGAGACTGCCAGTCCTTATGCACCTAAAAGAAAAATCTATGAAATGCATATGGATCTTTCTTCCCCCCCCCCCCCCCCCCTTTCTTTTTTTTCATGTGTGAAACGCTATTGAGATGGCAAGCACGCAAATCGGGATGATATCATGTTTAATAAAAGCGGGGATAAGGTTTTCACAGTCTCCTTTAAAAGGCTCCAACTTGTAAATCCCCTTTTTACGTCGCTACATGCACAATAATTCTTATAAATAAAAATCTACATGTTCAAGAAGCTGGATTGGAACTATATAGCCCTCTGATTTTAACATCGGTGGGAGCATTAGCTTTCCATCATACGTAATGTGTCTCCGTTGAGCTCAAGACAACAGATAGATTCTTCCATTCATTTGGCAACTTTCCTTACAGTCCGTGAGAGGTGAACGCCGAGCATGACACCTCGGGAAATACCAGAATTATGCGGCTGGGAAGCAAAGGACCCCGGATTTAACAGCTCTCCCGCTTTGCAAGGGCGGTTCTGTGTTATTGTCCTAATTTCTTACAGAACCCGAGGTGCTCTGTTATACTCAAAAGAAAAAATAAGATTCCGAGTGAAGCCTTCAGAATAAAAGGTGCGGAGAGATGATCCGCCTGCCTATTGTGTCCCGTTATTATCGCCAGCCTTTAAAAGTAACCCATGTGTTTTGCTCTTTCCTCCAGGCTGGTTAGTGTAACATTCCCGGGGCAGCTACCACCCGGCTCCTATGAACTACAGTGGGGGGAAGCTTGAGAAACCCCGGGCAGATCCCATTAGCCAAGGCGGCTGCGGCTCTGGAAGCCAGTCAACTTCGCTCTTCCAGCTGACTGCTGGATTATGCCCGGATGAGTTTTACATATAGCAGGCTGTATACGGAGTATGTCTTTATGTTTAACATTTTAATTTGGGCATGCTAATTAGACATTCGGTCCCCACGGTTATATCAGTAGATACCTAATCATTTCCCACTAGAAGTAAAGGAATACTCAAGACGGTAAACACTCTACTTTCTTTCCCTAGCTCAGCTACAGCATCGCTTCTTACATCCCTCTTCCAGAGGCGTCCCTTCGAACAAAATAGGCATTTATTAAATGAAAGGGAGCGGGGGGGGGGGGGGGGGGGGGAATGGAAAAAAATTGCTCCCTGTAGCACTCTTACAATTGAGGTGCGGAGACCCGGCAATCCTGGCCGATCCAGGCTTTTTGGAGGTCAGGCAGCAAAGTAGTTCGAGCTTTGCCGAGTTAACTTGTTGCTCTATTTAGCCTGAAGTTTTTGCTGGTCGCTTGCGGTACCCCGAAGCTGCTGACTGAGGGAGGCACAGCGCAGGGAGCTGCGCTTCGAACTTTGGTGCTATTAAAAATACAACGCAGGGCACACTTGGGGGGACTGGGGGGTGAGGGGAGGCAGAGGGAACCGGGGGGGAGGAAATCCGCTTTGTCCCAAAACCGAGCTGATGGACTTTGCGGGGTCTCTTCCAACTCAAAAACCCACCCGCTGATGAGGCGAGGGAAATGTTCACTTAACTACGGCAAATCTCGAGTAAGCGACCACGTTTCTGAGAAGAATTGCGCTCTGGAAATGTGTTTTACTAGTCTGGAATATTGCTAGTGCTTATTTCGCCAAACGTGGTAGGTGGAAAGTTTTGTTCATGTAAATATCTCAATCTTTTTCCCGCACGGTCAATACAGACGGAGACTCGACTCCGTTTTCCAAACGAAGACCCACAAACACTTTAAATGAAAAGTTTATGTTCGTGTAGGTCGTTTCCTCTCTTCAATTTCTTTTCTCTCCCCCCCCCCATCATTTTTTTTTTTCCCCATCTTTTTCTGTATGTGTGTGTAAGTGTTAGGTTTTTAGGCGGGGAGCTCATCTTGCCAGGATCTATCATATTTATGGGCTGTGTGATTTCCAGGGCTCCAATTGGTCTTTCCTTTATGGAGGCAAGGAATAAAACTTTCCCAGTCGGACGGAAACTGCTGGGGCTCCAGAGGAGGGGAACAAAGTGGCTTCAATTCTCCCCTCAGCCCCGGGGCCACCTCTTCCCACCTCCCGCTCCGGGGGCTGCCGGGGACATTCCCCCTCCCCCCCTTGCAGGTGCGCTAGGGGATGCTGCAGCCACGCTTGTCCGTGTGCCCAGCATCGTACCGTGTTTAGGGAGGAATACCGCAAGAAAAACTAAATTTCTCCTTCCTACCCACTCTTGCAGCCACTTAGGAGGGAAACGGAGGAAAGAAGAGGGCGCCTGGGGTAAGGGACTGAGCCTACGTGTGTTTGGAAAGGGACAGAGAGCCGGAGCGGTGCCGAGTTGCGGCCGCCGTCGATGTGTGTCGGTTTTAGTTGAGGTTGGTGTCCGCGAGTGTCCCGGGCGGCGACAACGTGTGCCCGGTGTGCGGCCGGTGCAGGCAGGGCGGGAAACAGGGGGGGCGACGCTGGCACTCACAGGTAGAGAAGTTTGGGGGGAAACATAGAAGGAGGGGCCACCTTGGGGGTGGGCAGAGAAAAAGAAAGAAAATAAAAAAAAAGCTACTTTTCGATGTTTAATACTGTGATTAAATATTAAATGATGTAAAAAAAAACACAAACAAAACGAGTTGCTTTACAGCACCCTCAGGGGCTTAAGTGCCTTACGTGGGACAAAAAAACCCAGCCAAACCTGCGTGGCACCTCAGGCTCTCCCCAGCTTCCATGCCCGTGCCTGTGTTTAATGAGCTGCTCTCGCTCCTTCGCAGGCCCCGGGTCGGTTGGAGGCATCGCACCAACCGGACCACTTTTGGGGCGGCCTTTTAATGGGCAGCAACCTCCCTCATCTCCTTTCCCACCCCGATTCCCCCAGCCCGCAGTTCCTATACACTCCACTCGGCTACCGCCTTGCCGGCCCCGGGAATTTTGGGGCTCTCCTCTCCCGGCCGTGGTGCCTGGGGGGAATTGGGGAGCAAAGGCCTGGACTGGAGGACAACCAAACCTGCCCCCCTTACTCCCCTTCCCAGGACGGGCCGGGGGGGGGGGGGGGGGTGGTGTAGAGACGGACGAGGCCGTCCATGGCGCCCCCTGGCGGTCGTCAGTCGCCTGACGTAGCGCTCCGAAAGTTGATTTTGTTCAGCAAGCCGTAGCGTATAAAATTAACGACAGCCAATAAAAATTAGCTTACATGTTTCAACCGTAAAAGTCCAAACCAAAATAAAGCTAGTTTTAGTGAAGCTAAGGAGCTGTGCTTTGGCCCCGTTCTCCCTTGGCTTGAACCGAGGTCCTTTTATCTAAAGCCCAGTGCACAAACATATAGCTTAATGTGACTAGTGTTCTTCCTTTTATTTCTTTCTCTATGGCAACCAATATGTTCTGCTCAGAAATGTTCCCCCATCAAGGAAACAAATGATCTTGAGGGAGCAGCTCTATACGGCATCTGTTCCGATGGAGCACACAGAGTTAACCCCAGTCAAAAGAGACGCTGGGCACGTCAACAAGAAGTGGAAAATGAGCGATTCTTCTCCCCCACCCCCCCACCCCCCAGTTGAAACCTATACCTCCCTAGTTTTACAAGCCATTTTATTGATTTGACTATCGACCGTTTCCAAAGAAGTAACTAATTCTAGGAAATTACAATGATCACCAGGCATTGTGTATCCAAAAGAGCAGCAACGGGGGAAGGGGGGGGGGGGGGGGGGTTGGAAAAAAAAAATTGTATGCAAATACCACTGCAAAATTAAAATAAATGAAAGTCACGTAATGGGATATTTAAGCCTCAGTAAAGTTTTCAGGAGCGGTATCTGGCCTAGTAATTTAATCCTACATTATTTATCACATTATTTATCACACTGACCCAAACGCTATAAAAGAGTTTCAGATCATTAGCCCGCACCTCTCAATTAGACGGGGTTCGGGGAACGCGGAGAGACAAGCGGGGCTGTCAGGAGAGAGAAACCGAGTGAGATCGGGTCTGTAATCCCCCAGCCCCAGCCTCCTCGGAGAATAAAATGAAGGGATGTCCTGGTTAGTTTTGATTGATTACACTCTTTCTGATGGACTTTCACTACAGAGCTCTAGATGTTGTGCTTAACCGGCTGTTCCCTAGTTACAATATTAACCCTCTCCGTGCACCCGCCACTCCGCATCTTCCCCGGCCTTCACCCCAGCCCCGTTCCCGGCCCTCGGCACCGGCCCCGGCAGCAGGTGCCCGGGTCACCGAGCACCGGCCCCGGCACCCCCCCCCCCCCCCCCCCCGAGAAGCAGCGTTTGCAAACATCCCGCACATCTGCCTCTCCTCTGCTTTACAAATCTGTCATATTTTCGAGAGATTTCCCTTCCCTCCATCA